TTACAAGCAAAGTTACTTTGCTCGAAACTTGCCATTTTTCTTTCAGCCCCCTGTACCACCTCCACTCTTTGGACTGGTTTGTTTTTTTCAACGTATACTAGTATTCCTTTTGCCATTAGTCTGGCGCACTCAGACAGAAACAGTCGACGCCGACAGTCGGTGACAGCTCAAGATTTGCCACGAAATGCTGGGATTTATAAATACTATATAGCACTCTATACATCCAACTGGGAGTGTGTGTATAACAGTTGGGTTGGTTGTCAACCCGACTGCGAGTGATGTGGATGCGAAGGCCTGATGTCCTGGCGAAATCGTTTTCATGTCACTAGTCATTCACAGCCTGGCACTTTATTCACATTTTCATTTTTTCTTTTTGTTGTTTATTTTTTCGTTGCTCAAAGATTGGGCAAAGCAAAGGACTAAAAGTGGAGCCAGGAATCTGGCAGGAGCTGAAAGTTGAGCTGAGAAAACCCTTGCAGCCTGCAATCAACGGGCTCCGAAAAGTAGGCAACCCTTTTTGCCCCTTCGATAGTACGTATGTGTGATGTCGCGAGAGGGAGGAGGTAGGGTGGTAGGAGGAGGTGGGAGGTAGATGGGAGTGCTTGTGTGCTGCCTTGTAAATGTCAAAACCTCAACATGTCGGCTAGCTCGGCTCCGTTGTTCTTATGCATATGGAAATGCCAATTTGAAGCGAACACATCCGACACGGGCTTCGACCTCTCCGGCCCTAAGACAAAAGCCGATGATATTGAAGGTCCGGCTCCCGGCTCCTGGCTGCTGCCTCATGGCTCCTGGAGTGACCAAAGATGCAGAGAGCCCGGAGTGGGGGCAAGAGGCTGTTTGCAGCCTTGTATTCAGCCTATAGCCGAAGAATTTACATATGGAATTTATGCGCATGTAACTCCTGTTCCTGTACCTGCGAGCGTGTGTGTGCCTTTGTCGAGACATGTTTTGACTGTCACGACGGTAATTGATCTCGATTAAGACCATGTTGTAGGCAGAAGAACCCCGACGGCTTGGGGCTTGGGGCTGGGTAGGGGCGCCAAGGGGGTGGCCGGTTGTTGTCCGACACGGACCCGCAATACACGCATTACAAGGCTGTCAAGGATACAACCGAATACACGTACATGACAATAATCTTAAGTTGGAGGCTCTTTAAAATCTGCTTAAATGGGGTGGAAACAGGGTTATGAAATGTTAAAATGATTCATTAATTAATTAGACCTTAAGGGTCCAGAGCGACCCACTCTTTCAATGAGTATTGGTTTATATTATATGTTAAGTGAGTCCCAAAGATATATAGTAATATTTTAAATTTCTGTTCTAGGTCTGGTTCCAAAACCGCCGAGCCAAGTGGAAGAAGCGCAAGAAGACCACCAATGTCTTCCGCACTCCGGGCGCCCTGCTGCCCTCCCACGGACTTCCTCCATTTGGAGCGAATATTACCAACATTGCGATGGGCGATGGCCTCTGCGGAACCGGGATGTTTGGCGGAGATCGCTGGAGTGTCGGTGTAAACCCCATGACAGCAGGTGAGTGTCCTGGAGCTGGCAGTGAAAGGCATCCATACTAACTCTCGTATTTCGTGCTATCCTTACTAACCGCTGCCAAATTGGAAATGGGCACAGGCTTTGGCCAACTGAATCAGTCGTCGCCGCTCTCGTCCACGCTGAACAGTGGCCTGAACTCGGGCATTAACATGGGCTCCGCCTTGGGCGCGGGTAGCTACCAGCACTACGGCCTCAACGCTCTGGGTAGGTGTCACAAGTCCACTTCCTAGACACCATCACAAAGCCCAAATCACATGCCCAAATCTGAAAAAATTTTCCACCTGCCTGCAACAAACAAAAGCCAAGCGTTGACACTTTTTCGTTGGCCATGTTAATATACATATATATTTTTTTTATTTTTGAGTTTTGTTGGCTCGATTGGATTTATTTGCTTTGCTTTCGATACCACCCGGTTCCAGGTCCAGTTTTGAGTTCCAGTTTTCAGTTTCCAGTTTCCAGTTCTGCCGACAATTGACCAAACACGACGCCAGAGTCCACGACTCTCATTTCTTTGAACTCATAACACTTTTTTTTTTCGGTAGCCCCGAAACATTTGCATGCGTATGGGTTGTATCGCATCGTATTATTTATAATGCCCGCGGACCTTATGTTTGTTCGATCAATTAACAGTCAGTCGTTTAATTTTCAGGAATACCCAAAGGCATTTTTTCAACTTCTTTATTTGGTTTCATATAGTTGTGCTAATTGACATTTTGGAGACATGTTCATGTCGATTCTTTTTATTTATTTTCATTTTTTTTTTTTTTTTATATTTTGGCTCTGGCTCCCGTCAGCAAAGTTTTCATTGTTACATTTTTGCTTGTTATGATGAAGAAAGATCTGATGGTTTTTTAATAATTTTTAAAAATACCATTTTTTTCTTTAGGCGACTCCATGATGTACCAGCACAGTGTGGGCGGGGTGAGCTGTGGGCCGAGCGGCTCGCCCAGCGCCACCACGCCGCCAAACATGAACAGCTGCTCGTCGGTGACTCCGCCGCCGCTATCCGCGCAGCCCAATTCCAGCCAGAATGAGCTCAACGGTGAGCCTATGGTGAGTCCTTTGAATAAGTCAAAGTTGGTGGTTTGTTATCCTTTAGAATTTTCAACAGCCACTGCACCAGCAGCAACAGCAACAGAGCCACCAACAACAACAGCAGCAGCAGCAACAGCAGCAGTCTCACCAACAGCAGCAGCAACAGTCTCACCAACAGCAGCAACAACAGATGGCGCCACCGACGCCGACACAACAGCAACAGGACGCAGGACTTCCGCTCTGCCACCAGTCCATGCAGTCGCCGACAGACGGCGCCACCGAGGAGGATGTGTGGCGAGGCCACAGCATTGCAGCGCTGCGCCGGCGAGCCTCGGAACTGAACTCATCGATTCCTTCCTACCTACATCACGCCGCCCACAACAATTACGAGCACCACAATTCGGTGTACTGAAATTTGTTGAAAAGCTTCGAAAGCTTTTCGGATTACGGGTTCTCCAACTGTGGAGCTGGCGCCCACGACTTGGGCTAGGGAGGGTCGTGTAAAGTCATGTAAATGGAGCCAGTGCTCCAGCTTGGATGGCATCGAAGCGTTATAAGATAACCAAAACCTATGTTTAAATTATTGTACAATTTATGTGTTTGCATTATTTGTTCCATGATTTAGGACACACAACTCGAGGGGAAAGTACTATTTGGGGGCGAGTGCATCTTCGACTTAAAAGACTATAATGAATGTAAACCATGTATACGAGAAACGAAGCTAACGATTTAGAAAACAGTACGAGTACGATTGCGATCGTATTCGAACAAATAGAGTCCTAAGAAAACCATGAAACTATACGTTCTATTCCAGCATGAATAATGTAGACATTAAACATTTGCAGTATACGAAAATTGTAAAAAAAAAACTAAACACAAAAGATTTTGCAGGCGAGGGACATATGTAGCAAAAAAATGAAAGCCACCATCTTCGAGGCGTCACAATAATTTTTGGCAAGGGAATTCCATGGAGTTCGCGCTTAATTCGTATGTAAGCATATTATGCCTCTAGGAGTGTATGTATTAAGTAGATCTATTCTTATGTAAGTGTTGTTGTTTTTGTGTATAGGCAGTATACTTCTGTTCCGTTGCTATATCCTCATATAACCATACGCGATACCGACCCATAATACATATATCGAACGAGCAGCCCCAACTATAGCAAAATGGTGTGTCCCAGGACACACACACAGACACTCTCAATGAAAAACTAAAAAAAAAAAAACAAAGATACAACTCAAATCTCAATCTAAAACAGTTTCAGATTGCACGCATCAAATGGATTACTTTTACGATTACCAATTACAAATTATAACAAAAATACAATTAAAAACTATATATATATGCATACAATTATGGCATACTTGTAATAGACTTTCTTGTATCGTTTAAGCCTAAATTTAAATCCAACTAAAACAAAAAACAAAAAACGAAAAACAATTACTATGTATGTAATTACTATGTATTATTAAATAGTAAACTAAATTAAAATTGAAACGTGATTTGCATTACGGTGGAAGCTCAAAGTGGTTCACAAAGTGCCACTCAGTGTGGCGCAATTCTGTGGAAATTGATTTTTAATTCACTTTATGAGTAGAATAGATAGTTGGAGGTAAATTAAAAATATTTTGTAAAAGTTCTGGTATCTAAAGAACTATTAAATGCAAGAAAGATAAAGGGAATAGCTCAAAGCAATTGTTAAAAAAAGGACATTGATACTCCGAACTAGAAAATATTCCTGAAAAATAAACATTTTGAGGTACATTCAAAGGGGCATTTCAGTCCCTTTATTTTTCCTTGATAGGCTTATGAATAATTTCAAAATATTTGCAAAATACAAAACAAGCCAGATTGATGGAAAGGTAGCATGCACATTTAAATATCTCAAGAATTCGCCAGAGTCCTTTCCGTAAGGTGCCCTTTGAACCCATGCAGATGCAATTACAATAATTGAATGGGATTGGGAAATGCTCAAATGCCAAACAAGTTTAAGCTGAAAATTGGCAAAATTGATAAAACTTTGACAGTGTGTGGCACACACTCACACTGCACATGGCACACACTCCCCACTCACACTTTGATAATGGTCCTGTTTGAGTGTGTATTTGTGGTCTGAGGCTGGGCTCGACTCTTTCCATTGGCCATGACACCAGTTCTGGCCCAGAACCTGTCTGATCGGGGTCACAAAAGAGCAGGACGCCAGGACATCATTCGACCCGACTGCATGCAGAGGCTTATAAATTTTATAATGCTCGCCTGACATTTGACATGCACATTGTCACGACAATTGGCCCGTGGAGCCTGCAGCTGAACCTTTTGACCAGACCCAGTTCCAGACCCATAACCAGATACAGATCCAGAACCCGGAACTCCATCCAACTTAATCACACAGATGGCAAATTTTATGCGAAATATTCATCCACTTTATGCTCTCGTATGTATAGTCGATGCACATAAGCTATTTAATAATACAAATGCCCATTCGACAGGTTTTAAATTCGGATATGGAAGGTGGAGAGGAAGTCGGGTGCCCGGAGGATGACGTGCTCGAACTCCAAAATTGATAGCTTGCCATCGCCGTCGACGTCAGCCTCCTCAATTACCTTGTCGGCAATCTGCTGGTGCTCCTCCGGACTCAGCTCGTTCTTGGTCATTGTTGTCAGGCAGGACATGAGGTCAGCGTGCCCGATGAAGCCGTCCTGATCGAAATCTGCAAAGTTATGTCCGAACATAAGTACATACAAATGCCAAGTGGGTGGGCTCAAGCCATACAGTAAGAAAAGAATTTTAAAATGCAGTTTGATCCTAGAAAAGGTATACAAAGTATATAAAATATTGGTAAAGTTTATACACTGAAAACCAGAAGAAAGATATTTAGTTTAGAAGCTTTATAAATCCATCCTTGGAAATGCAGATGCAACTAATTTTTGCAAGTGCTCCTCGAAGAGGTTAAGTGTAAGCCTTGTGCCTTACAAAACTTGACATTTTCTAGCACAAAAGTCAAGTGATGTGTGACAAACTGAGTTTGCCGGCAACCTTGTGCTCGTACTCGTGCTCGTGTGTGTCGCATAGGTAATCGCTTGCTGCACGTTTCAATTTGTGTCAATCTAATAATGCACATTGAAATGAAGTGTAGTTACCTCTGAGCCTCTGCCATGGCTTTGGCAAACTAGTCAGTCTAGCACAAATTTTTTACAAACCTCTCGACCTGAGAGACACTTTTCATCCTATTGATTCTATGCGAACTTTTTGTGCCATTAATTTGGAGTGCCAAGTGCACAATCAATTTGCACGAAAACTTTTGGCCACCCAGTTACGGTGACATTTTTGAGATTCTAATTTAAATTTCAATTAAAATGCTTATTAGAATTTATGGCTGTCCTTGAACTTTGTCTCTGCAGCAGCCGCAACACAGCCATTGTTGTTGTTGCCTGGCACGGCGCCACAAATTGTCGAGTCGCGAGTTGTGTGCCACGCTTGGCGGCGACCACGGGCAATGCGTTCCTTGTAAAAGCCAAAGGCACAAAAGGACATCACACTACCACACACACACACCAACAGGCCTCTCTCGTGAACGCATTCGGAGCACCCAAGACAACAAACACGGGCTGCGGCGGAAATGCATAAACAAAAGCTGAAAATGTTGGCCAGCAGCTGGGGCTTCAGATGGGAACAGAGTTTAGAAGTCTGCACTGAGAAACAAATATAGTTGCATTCAAAAAATATATAGTTTTAGGCTATCTAACTTGTAAAGGATTAAATCTTATAAATAAGCTTTGAATCAACTTCTTCGCATAGTATAGTTTAATTTTTAATAACTAATATTTCTTACAGTGCATCCTGCACCACAACAATGAAAAGGGGAAGCACCAGCAACTTACCATAAATTTTGAAAGCGTAGAAAACTTTAATGTCCCTCGGCGCCTGCTCGCTGAAGACAGAGAGGGCGTCCAGAAAGTCCTCAAAGGATAAATTGCCCTGGCCATCGCGTGAGAAGGCCTCGCCTGCAAAAATGGAAAATTGCTCTAGAATTTTGGACGGCGGTATTGGGGGAAGGGACATGGGGGATTTCTGTTTTGTTTAGCTTATGCATTGGTCCTTTGTTACGTACAGATACGCCGGCGAAAGGGATTCTCACGCAACTCGGGCATCTTCTCAATGCACTCGCAGGGAACCTTGACACTCGAGGCCTGACCCTCGGTCATTTGGCGTGGCACCAAATCCGGACGCAGCTCTCGAAACCTTTTATGGACGCTGTAACATATACAAAACAATAAAGTTTATTAGTTTCGAATAACCGCAAAGGTTAATACCCTAACATAATTGAAGATTATCATTAAATATATTTAAGACTAGGATCCTTTTAGATCTTTTTAGAGCTTAAATATTAAGCTCTATGTATCCTTCTAGTGGGAATATTATCTAGGAACTAGTCGAACTCTATATCCCCTGATAGGGTATAGAGAGTGGAAGACCGGGATGAGCCAGTGGCGCTATGGCAGCCTTTGTGTTCCTGTGCCTGTCTCTCTGGGCGCTGTAATATGGGTATTTTTTTCTGTTTCCTGCCCTTTGTGGCTGTCGAATGGCAAACAAAAGGATGCTCCGAACAATGGCATCACTTTGGCATCGCTTTGTCCGGCCTTATATGAAATAAAATAGTTTCGGCTTATTACGGCAATACAAATGGCCTACCGCAGGATCTCCTTGCGAGTGAAAAACGTGCAATCCTACCCATTTCCGCGGCGGAGCAACAGCGTCAGTGCATGAAACGAAATTAGCTTTGGGGTCAATTGGACTGATACTGATGGATGGTCCAAATCCTCACCTGGTAGTCGTCCAGCTGCTGCTCGGTGAATGTCACAACTTTGTTACCCATCGTTCCTGGCCAAAGCGATCTGGGACCAGCTCCCGGCCCAACTGGTTAGTCCCAAGCGTGAATGGCGACTGTCATGGTAGCGGAGTTGCCGTGGCGGGCCAACTGCCCCACAAGCTATAACTTTGCATGGCCCGGGACACGTATGGCGCCCGCATTCGCATGGAAATTAATTAAGGAGTGCCCTGGAACCCCACCCGCTCCATAACTATACCTCGCCTCTGGCACCGCCCCCCATAACCTAAGCTTCTATGGCCAGTGCCAGGAGCAGCGCCGTGTATCCTGTGGTTTGTTTGCCGCTGTTGCCTTTTTCGCTGTCAAGCTGCGGCAAAAATCGTTTTTGCGTTTTTGTAGGTGCGGCTCAGAGTAAAAAAAAAATATGGAACAACTAAAAACATCTAGGGGAATCTAGCGAATAATCAATACCTGGTGTTCTGGTTAATAAATCACAAACATGTTAGTTTTAGTTAGCCATTTATTATGACTTGAGTACAATAAGTTATTTAAGTATAAGTATTTCTTCGCCTGTTCACCAGCCAATTAAAAAGAATGTAAATCCGAAAAGTACCTATTATATATACAAAATTCCAAGAAAGTCCTACGGCAGGATTATCTACATTACGTGCTTTCGTACGATTACAACATGCTCTTGTTATTCTTGTCGAACAGGTATGTGGAGCACAAGATACAAAAAAAGCAAAAAATTGAAACTAAATTTATGTAGAAGAGAAAATTGTAGCATAGTTTTCTGCGCTAGACTGTCGATGCGTATGGCTTTTAGTTGGGTGTAAACTTTATCAATTAATTTAATGCTCGACGGCACTTTTCCATTTCACGTGTCTGCTCTATGAATTTATGAAAGTGACTGTCGGGCTTGGGGTCCAAATCCAGGACACTGAGCTTCGTTAGAAAGTGATGACCCAGCAGGGAGACACACCAAGGCTGCAGTGCGGCGGAGCTGGAAAATATTTCGAATTCGATTAGCACCAGTTTACCCAACAGGACGTGGTTCTATACGAATGATACCTACCTTTGGCTGCCACCAGCGGGGCAATCGGTTTCCCATTCGATTTCGATTTCCTGAAACGTCAACATAATCGAGCAATCCAGCGCCGTGGCTCCCAGCATGTATGCCTGCTCCGGGTCCGGTTTCAGGTCTAGTTCAGATTCCTCGGCGGCAACGGCGGCGAAGAGCAGTCCCCGGAGTGAGTTGTAGGTGCGCTGGGAGTGCTGAGCATAGCCGGAGTGCCACATGAAGTCGAAATGGTTCTGCAATTGTCAAGAATTTTTACTCCAACTGCATGAGCATTGGCCACTTGGACGCCTTTTGATGGCCAGCTTTCAGAAAAAACGAGGAGTTCAAGAAAACAATGGAAAGCCGAAATTTGAAGTATACTTCTTTCGCCAAAAAACATAGTTATTAGCATTTTTTTTAAGGTTATAGATTCTAGAAGTCTCTTTAAGGAAGATTAAACTTTTAACCTTAAAAACTTTATGGCTAATAAACAATATTTGTACTTCTGTTATGACTGAATTGCATTTTTTAGAAAAAAAAGGAAAACTAACATACTCTTGCAGAGTATATTTCAAATTGCCTTGGCTTCCCTGGGGGCCGGAAAAATAAACAAACCTCCGGACTGGCGAGGCATCTAGTTGGCTTACCTTTACCAGCAATTGCAAATTCAAAATTTTTTGCAGCACACAATTTTTTGGTAAGCGAAATATTTCCGCTTTGTTGATTTGTGCTTGAAGTTGATTCGTAGCTTCATTCTCATTCCGATTTCGGGTCTGGACCTCATTCTCATTCTGTTGCTGATTCCGATTCGGATTCAGATTCCAACTCGTACTTGGGCCTGGAGTTGGCAGTGTTTCCGTTTCCGTTTTTGTTTCCGTTCGAGTTGCCATTGCCAACACATTGCCGGACAGTTTGCTTGTCCTCGTTGCTGCTCCGGCCGCAGCTTCAGCGGCTGCATCTGTTGTTGTGTCTATTCGGGCCAGCTTTGTGTACCTTTGGGTCTCTGTCGTGGTCGTGGCAGCAGCTGCTCTTGTCCGGGTCGAGGATTGACCAGCATCGACAAAGCAGCCAGCTCCCCACTTTTCCGCCTTCCTGTCAACATTAGCGGCTCTGGCCATTGTCTCCATCTGGCCAATGGAAACGGCGACGGGACTCGACGGTGTTGGCTGCAACTCCTGGCCAGAATCGTATTCCCTTAGCAGGCAGGCCACCAGCAAATGTTTTATAAGCACCATCATTTCACTGGAGAATTTCAGAGATTTTATGGCCACGGCGTTGGCGATGGCGATGGCGATGGCATTGGTGAAATTTTGTTTGTTAGCATTTTCAATGCCCAGTCCCATTTGGAGCGGTCGATGTCAACGTTAGCGTGGCCAAAAGGTGTTGAAAAAGCCACGAAAAGCATACGGAAAAATCGAGGAATACTTGAAAAACCAGAGAAAACCTGATGGCAAAATGGTAGAGCAGATGCTAAGAGAGAGAGAGAATGCGGCCAGGAAAATGGCAATGTTGGCATTTGGCACTCGAGAATTTGTGTTTTTGGCTGCTGGTCCTTGCATTATTTATTGAATATTTGCGTGTTACCCGAATTTCAGAGGAGTTGTTTCCGTTTTTCCTCTCTTTTCGTTTCAGGTTTGAAAATTTATGTCCGGCCAGACCGAACAAGCGTTGGGGAAAAGTAATTAAAAGAGTACAATGGTATGGAAATATTATTTGGAAAGAATATCTCAAATTGCTTGTTTTCCCCAGACCAGCATTCTTTCTTCTCATCATCGAGTCTACTGAGAATTGGCTGCCATTCCTGGCTGAGGATGACTTACCCGGGAAAAACACGCGAGTGCAATTCATCGAAGGAAATCGAATTCGCGTGATCGCCATAAATTAAATTGCCGTCCCGAAATACACGTAAATTATTTTGCGGGCAGGCGAGAAGTGCATCCAAGGCACTGAGCATACGACTGGGCTCACTAAAAGCACACAAAAAATGCAATGAGAATGTGGGGATACATCAGCAGACATGTCTCTGATACAGTGGAGTTAATGACTATAAGCCTGGAGATCTAGGCCCGGGATTGGGTTTTGTATAGCTTAGCTTACAGGGAAAGTATCTGACCCGACCTATAATAGTCTCCCTCAATACCCTTTAGATACCATATTATTTAAAAATTCAAGACAGCCCCCTTGTTGTGCTTATGGCCCGCACAGTACCTATGAATAATATTATTAAAACTGATGTATGCGCATATGGAATATGTATATGAAAGATGCTGGCACCCAAAACGAAACCAAAAGAAATGGCAACAAATTTCAAAAGGCCGTAAAGGCTCGGTTCGGGTTGGTTCGGACTCGGACTCGGACCACTGGTAAAAGGAGCATGAACCGGAATGGAGTCGGAAGAGATTGAGAGGAGCAGGCAGGAGCAGGCGGCAACCCGGAATGAAAGCGCAAGCAAATTGAATTTTGTGCACGGATGCACGCATGACTTGAAACAGCGGGCCGCAAATAAACGAATGAGTGGAGCGGGCCTGGCATTGGGATTGCAATTGAAGTGGACCAGCGGCTGGTTGGCCGGCGGTCCTGGCCGTTCAGTTCCTGCCGTAGAATGAACCAAAAGAAGCACTGAGCGAGGACGAGGACACAAAAAAAAGTGCACTAAAGCTGAAGGAGTGGCAAACAGTAACCGAAAGTGTTGGAATTATGAAGCACGACAGGACACGCAAATGGAGCAGATTGAAATTTATGACTCGATGTTCGTGCCAAAGGAGCGGCCTGCCGGCTGTCCACCCAGTACGATGTCCGTCCTGTTCATTGTTCGTTGTTCGCAACTTGGGGGTTCGATGACATACCCGGAGAATAGCTCCAGCGGACAGTAGTGGCCCAAACGTTTGATTTTCCCATTGTGCAGCTGTCGAAAGAAATGAAAGGAAAAACTAAAACGACCTTCGTTATTCCAGTATCTTCTCACCCGCTCACCTTCAGCAGCTGCATGTTGCAGTAGCGACACCAGCACTTGTCTCGGGTTAATGCCTGGTGCTCCTGATCCTTTGGCTCCTTGTCCTCCAGCACCCTCTGCTCCGCTGCCTCCTTGTCCGTCGTATCCTTGTTTGGCTTTGTCTCTGCTATGGCTGGCATTAAATCAAATAAATCGTTGACATCACTTGCCAACTGGATCCAGCCTTGTTTGGGTTTTATTTCGATGGCATATGTATCGCCCAGACGACGGACACCGCTCCAGCTCCGGTTCCTGCCGCCCTCTTCATCTCCTGTTCTGCCCTTTGCCTGCAAAATTATATCGTTTCGTTTATTTGCTCTCTCTCTTCACCCTGCCACCCCCAAGCCCTGCCACCAGGTCCGGACTCCGGAGGAGTAAATGGAGTAAAAGGAAGGTGCCGGCATGTCCTGCCATGAAATATTATGCCTGCCGTGTACCGCGAACTTTTGCCCGGTGTTGATGCCATTTTGACTTGAAAATGCAGCCAGCAAGGAGCGAGCAAAAAAAAAATACCCATCATGAATAAAGCGACCTGGGGTTCGGATGGGATTGGTTGGAGGTCAGATTATCGCTCCGGCTCCGGCTCCAGCTCCAGCTCCAGCTACTGTTGCCTGCCATTGCCGTTGTGACATAAAACAAAAGTTGTTGCGCTGATTGTATGATGAGTTATGGAGCCACCGGTCGGCACGACATGGCCATAGTTTTCCATTGCCGTCTCCAAACTTGAAATTGAAAATTAACATTTAAAGCCGCAATTAAAAGGTTTTTCTGCGCTCACATTTTTTTCGGTATTTTCCGCCGCAATCCCAATCCCGGGCGGCCAACAATACGGCGTTAGTAATGGCCACACATACATATACTTTCTATGGATGATTTTTTTTTCCAGTCCCAGTCACTCCTGCTCCGCCGGTTGTTTGTTTCCTTTGCTGGCAATTTTATTTCGGTCAATGCTTTGGCACCAAAGCCATAAATTCAATATGTACCCACCGAGCAAAGTGAACAAATAGCCAAAAAATGGCGAAATCCCTGGATGGGGGATGATCGAACCGCCGTGTACCCTCTGACGAGGACGACTGGCTCTGGTTCTGGCTATGGGGGGTGACCCCATTCATATGAGCTCCCAGCTAGCTAAAATACCCACGCTCCGGCCTCCCGATTGTGGCGGAGGTGGACATGGAGCATACCATAGCATACATATAATAAAAGTTGCAGCTATGGCGGCACTTTCAAAGCAATTTCGGCATCTTTTATAACCGCACCAGCCCGAAAACCGAACGAAACGAATCGAAATAGCCGGAGGCAGTGGCGCGAGCGGGGCAAGGTTGCCCTGTCCGGCACCACCAACAATGGCAAGTAACGCCACCAACAAAGTGTTTACACTGTTGCCCACTTTAATTCAAAACAAAGAACCGTTGATTTATGTGCCTTGGCCGACGGTTTTAGCTTTGAATTTGGTCCAAAGGGATGGAAGTCGTGGGCCTCCGAAAAGCCACCGAAAAAAAGAGGATAATACCCGAAATGGGAAACATATCTTTAAATTTTTAGTACAAGTTATTCCACTTCAAAGGATAAGTAAATACTTCTTCAAGAAGGAAGCATCCTAGAGAGGTTATATACTTTCTAACTTCCCCAGTTATTCTAAATCTAAGTTATTCTAAAGTCTAAATTCTTTCAGTGTTGCAGCGCCAAGCAACTAAACCACCACAGGATCAGAAACAGCGGTTTTGGCAACAGGAACGGCAACTAACGTGTCCTGCACATATGGCCAAAAATGCCAATATTGTCCTTGTACAAAATACACAATTTATTTGGACAGCAACAACATGACTACGGCTATGGTAGAAACGGCAGCATCAGCGTTCCGCATTCAGCGTCCAGTATCCAGTAGCCAGTAGCCAGTAACCAGCAACCAGGATCCAGAAGCTGGAACTGGAGCAGCTGACGGCGGCGACGACCAACTCACCTGTAAATTGGCAAGTAAAACATCGAACGTGGCAGGCAATTGGGTCACATCTGGCAGAAGCAGGCCGAATGGCCCCACAAATTCCTTATCCAGACGCGAAACTGAAATGGTTGCAAGAAGAAAAGGGTCTGTGAGCGGAATGAATGTAAAGTGCAAGCGCCAGCATCCGGCCGGCGATTATTGATATATAGACGCCGCTGGGTTAGACTCCAACCGGTGAATGATAAATTGTTGGTCCCGAACAGTACGGCCAGTGTGCAGTATACAGCCTGTTGCTGGCTGCTGGCTGGATGGCTGGATGGCTGGCTGCTGGGCATAAACCCGATCTTGATATATGGCCACGACTATGGCGTCCGCCACTAATCAGTCCCAAGTGGGGGTCGGTTCGTTGTCGGTTGGGAGAAACTGGAGCAAGAAGCCAGGACGTGCTCTGTTTGTCTGTGGGTGCATCGTAAACGTCAGTGAAAGCGACTGGCCTGGGACGGAACACTAAAACGCTCGTTTATGATTGATTGCAGTGGCTCTAAAAGGCTTTGGACACTGGCCAGGATAAGGCGGGGAGTGTGGCGCGCGGGTCAGAGGCCAGTGAAAGCCACTGCAGCGAAAACTGATCAAATACAAAATTGTTGCCACAATGGACAAACACTAACACACACCGTAACGGGGAAAGTCCGCTTTGTTGATGCGGAAACTTCTGCTCTTGGCTCCCGGCACCCGGCTCCTGGTTCCTGGTTCCTGGCTTTTTTTTCCCCCATCTTACATAATAAACGTATTAAAGTTGGCACGAAACACTGGAAATTTATTGGAAAAGTATCTGAGAGTCAGCAAGGGTCAGTTTGTTGTTGAAATTTAAAATTTAAGAAGTTTATGTAGAGTTTCTATTAGTTTTTTAAACAAAATATTAGCTTTACAGATTTTTAGAGAAAAGATAACCCTTTACAAAGTATTAAAATATTCAAATACTTAGGAGTTTTTAGTCTATATCTTTGTTCTTAGTGATAGCTTAGTTGGCTCAGTGCACTTACCCGGTCTGTGGGCGCGTATTTGCTCGTTTATCCAGAATCTATCGTCTTCCTTTGGTATGGCAACAATATCCGCTCCGCAGACAAACTCATTTCCTAATAGACGGCGCATTATCCCGATATAAGCCATAAAATCCGGCATTGTCAAGTCGCCAGCTGGGGGAGGAGCAAACCCGTCGGAAGATGGACCAGCACGAGGCAGCACATAAGAGAGAGAGATGTGGATAAATGAAATAAACACATTTGATGCAATGGCCAAAAGATGCACAAAGATATAGAGATATCCCAGTGGGCGACTGTGGATGGAGGGGATAAAGGGCTACAGGAATAGGAAGTGGCGAGTGGTGAGTCAAAACCCAGCCAAGCGGGCAATAACCAAAGCACAATACTCAAATTGGCTGGGAGATGGGCGAAGCGCTTGTCTGGGTGTTTGAAGTTGCACGCAACCATTTCCTGACCAACAAAAATGGCAGAATGTAAGGCAGCCAGGCTCCGGAGGCAAACCATAACTGGCTACACACATCCCTGACCAAAATAATAGCATCAATGTTTATAAAAGCTTATCAAAACATAGTTCAAAAGATGAATATTCTTTACATTTGAATTTAATATAGAGAGTGGAATACAATCTTAAAAGAAATATTGAATTCCAAATATCCTGCATTGCTAATGAAGCATTTCTATCACTGTTTTCTTGACCACAGCTGTGGCAGCCACGTACAAACCTTTTTTGGTAACGACTCCAACGGATGATTCGCACTGCCCTTCCGGCTGGCAGCCCCCTTTCCGCTCCTGCCGCCGTCTGTTGGATATAATTTTTGGCAAACGTAAAACTTTTTTAAATTGCGGCAAGGCGAGCACCAAATTTGCATTACCCTCCGCCCGATAGATCAACTCAATTTGGCGCAGTTCCATCGCCGCGGGCAGATCCAGCAGGGCGTGGAGATTCTTGGCCGAGCAATGTTGTTGGGATTCCATTTGGAGCTCGAACCGTAGCTCCTGCTCGCGGGCGGGCTCTGGTGCAGCTGTCATGGCTATGCGCGGGTGTTTTTGGTTCGTTGGCGCTGTCAAAATGCAACTGGCGCCCTTACAATGGGTGGGATTTCAACCCATCCACTACTCCTCGTCCTCTGCCGTGACCTCTGATCCCTTCTCGGTCTGCGGCGCGCCAGTGTTGATGATTGCCGATTGTGGCTTGTTGTGGTTGAGTTTTGCGGCTTTACTATTGTTATTGTTTCTGCTGCCTCTGTGGCTGCTGTTTGTCCTGTCGTGGGCACATTTATTGACCGTCAGCCGGGCGGCGATAAGATGTGGCTGCCAGGAAGTCTTCTTCGTCGCCTGCTCCGAGCTGAATTAAAGGACAAAAGGTTTAAATTCATTTTAAACTGTGTCACCAAAAAGGTATGTGTTTGCAACTTACCAGAACTTTTCACCATTTAGATTTGAGAAAATATATTATCTTAAGAGGTTCCTTAAAAGGCTTATTGAGGAAAGGCTACATTGAGGTAGGAAGAAGTATAATTGTGATTAAAAAAGAATCGATTAAAACGGTCGCAGTTTCAATGTCAATTCCTCAGTTGTCTCATCATAATCTGGAATAAGAAAAATAGTATGAGAGTTCATGAGGTAATCTCCCGATCATTCCCGGGAATAATTTGATTAAAATTTCTGGCGGGAAGAGGCTTGGTCTTATGGCTTGGTTGGGAATCTCTAGACTGGTTACTGGTCGGGCCATAAGGCAACCGGTTTACTTTAGAAATGGTTGTATTTTGAAGAATCTTCTCTTGCCGGCGAATGTCGCCAGAACCGGGAGACGTATTTTTAATAGAACTGCGCAGGGCACTTGATACTTCAGATTGAAATGACACCTGGAACGCAACACTTTCAAGACTAAGAGCTAATCTAAAAGATGTTTCTTGGGATCTGTGAATTGGTCAGAGGAATTATAGACTCCCAGATACAATAGCTCTTCCAAGACCCAACATTGCTTCGGAGTGGACCCGAACGACAGCTGTCTTCTGGTTATTCACAGACCCAGCCTTTATTTGCAGATGCTCTCTTCAGAGGATCGATTTAATACTCTTTATTTTAATTACCATCCAGATTTGGAGATTAGAGAACTGCAAGTTCCACTCAATGTTTTTTGTTTACTTTTTGAGCGCCTCATTGCAAACAGATAGTTCGTGGGGCTCTCCTAGCCACAGGAGCCACAGACCTAAAAGTGTTAAGAATTAAACGAGCTCTTTTCCATACAAATATTCCATTATTTATATAGCTACCAAAAGGTTTATATATTGAACAGACGAGCAGATTTAATTTTGTTTACATCTTCACCGATTTAAAGAAGTAAATAAATGTGATAATCGATAACCGATATAGTCTTTCAATCTGGCGATCATTCTAAAATATTCATAGGGGTGTGGTAGCACTGTTCGTTGGCCTGGTATTTCAGAGTGACCTTACCCCACCTGCGCGGCAATTTTAAAATAAAACACAAAAATTTTAATATTTTCTATTTTTTTATTTGATTTTCATTGTTTTTTGTTTGTTTTTTAGTTCTTGCGAATGTATTGACCGTTACTAGTTTGGATAAGCGTGTGTCCACCGGCATTTATCACTTGAGTACCTGATTATTAAAAAATTACAAATTAAAAACTATCTTAAACATTTTTTTGTTTTTTATTACTTACCAGCCTCTGCTGTCGCCAGAGCAGCAATAAGCGCAAAGAAAAATCCACAGACCTTCAGGCAGTTCATGTTTACAGCGTAAAATCAGATTCTACTTTGATTGGAGAGGTCTGGGGAGCGTGTCTTATATAGCTGGATCGGTTGCATTGAGCGCGAGTTAAAGCTGGATTGAGAATCTGGAATTTCCATAGCCTATAACAAAAATACCCAAAGACGCTGATACGAATGCAACTGATGTGTGAATTTTGTTTATTTTTATAGGAAGAGTCTGTGATTAAATTTCCCACAGATTTTTTATTACCTGATAAGGGTTTACAAAAAGTAACACAAAGGGGATTTTTTTGTAAAGTATTTTTCTTAAATTTTTGCTTAAAAGGTTCATCTGTTTTTTAGCCACTTATGAAATTATTCTATTTTTCGTTAATATTACCTTAATGGCTTTAAAAGTTTTGATATTTTTGCCTTATCAATAATATTTTATATATATTGCTTTATATATACAAATAATTTGTTTTCTGTCTATTACACACAGATTAAACTATTAGATTATTAATTTTTTTAGACTTTGTCTATAACTTATCAAGTCACTAACCCTTATATTATTGTTTCCCAGCACAAAGCGGGGAAAAAACAAAGTTTGTTCTGTTTCTGAGCTATTATAATTAAAATAAAAATAAGAGAAAAGCTCTTTTGATTATGACAAGTCCATATACTACTATATGTACATTTCAGATTCTAGGGCGAATAAATTAAATGTCAATAAACTTTTCTGCTCCTAGAAATATTGTGTCTTTTTCAAACGCATGTTTGAGTTTTTTGCACCTAAAAGTCAGCCACATGTGCTTCATTTCCAAAAAAAAAAAAACAATTTATAAACAAACAAATAATTAAATTATAATAATTGTTGTCTGCCGCAGAACCTTTCTTGGCGGCACATGCACATTTAACTGCTTTTCTGATGAAAGCCACGCAAACTGGATTGCATACTGCGCTGTTTACACCCAGTTCCAGTTATTCTAATACTACATAGTACGTGTGCTCATATTCGAAAGCCGATAACCAGCTCTAATTAAATTGCGTAGAAAACCCAGACAGGTTCCCGCTTCACATGAATCGCATCTTGGCTTGGTCCAAACAACAACAACAACAACAACAGGAGAGGTAACAAAACAAAGCTTTGATTGACGATTGAACTGATTAGCCGATCTTTTAACCTGTGCAATCCCCCAAGCCTGGAATTGCCCAGATCGTGGGGCGATTGTGCAGCTATAAAAGCGCTCTCCATCTGCAGTGGGGCATCAGTATCACAGTCATACCTCAAAGCCAATCAACCAACCAACCAACCAAACCAACAATCAAAATGAAATTCTTCCAAGCCGCCGCCCTTCTCCTGGCCATGTTCGCCGCCCTGGCCAACGCCGAGCCCGTTCCCCAACGTAAGTTAAAACTTAAATTCTAGTTTAATAATTTTATATACCTAATTTTCCATATTTTACAATTTATTAGCTGGAACTGTGCTCATCCAGACCGACAACACCCAGTACATCCGCACCGGCTAGAACCAGATACAATGACTTTCAAACTGTCATGCCATTGATTTTGTAAATAAAATTTATTAAATTTAAAATCTAGATTTGTTTATTTACTTATTTTCTAAAGATTCCTTATTATTTTAATCATCTATTTCGTAGATTCTTAACAAAGATCTATACAGATCTACTTATTCCTAGCTCAGGTTAGCAAGCATTTCTAGTTTTCCAATTAAAAATCGCTACAAAAAGTTCTCAGCCAGGTTCTTAATTGTCTGCTGTCACCTTTCAATTCCTTTGCACCTGATTTGTAGAAAATATTGGCACACTTGTACACCCAATCCACCCAAAAAATAGCCCCCAGTCTGACATGCGTCTAACAACTTGTTATTCGCATCTAAATGGAAATTGTTTGGTTCTTGTTTTAATTGTTTGACTTGAAAACTGCTGACGGCCAAAGGGAGAAAGGTTAGCTACAAACTCCATTCCGATTCCAGCCAAAACTGTGACCACTCGAAAACAACACCACAGATGCGTTCATATTTATATATATATATAGATATATATATATATATATGTCAGTAGAGTTGAGAGAAAACTTTAAACAATTTTCCAAGCTAAAACTATTTGGTCTTCCCATTTCGGCTTCAGTTCTAGCCCCTTAGCTTATGCAACTGGAACCCTTTTGCTCCTGGCCCATTGTTGGACTTTGTGGCGCCAACGGCCACGCCCACCGCCTCTATATGGTTCGTTACATCAGCAATTATTTTAAACTTTTGCCGCAAATATTTCCTTCGCTGGTTTTACGCCTGAAATGAATCGTTTATGAGAGTTTCAATTGCACAAAGAGAAATCTAATGAGGAATAAATATTAAAAAATTAAAAATATTTAAATACAAAATATAGTAAAAAAATTAGTAAAAAGAAACTTATTTAATTTTTATTTTATTCTAATTAAGTAAAATTGTTTCCTGTGTATTGGTTAACCGTCTGGAATGTCTGTCGATGACAAGGTGGACCGAAGAGGCACTGGGGGTACCTATGCTTTCTTAGCTGCCTGGACCTACCGCTAATCCTTTTGATATCCGTGCGAAGGAATTCTGAGCTCCTTTTGGTCGCGTTTGAAGTTGGCGGTAGTGGCCAACTATGCAGTCCCCTTTGTCTGCTCGACGGCTGAGGTGGATCTGAGTGTGTGGGTGCTGGCCAAGTCAATAACTGAATATTTCCAGACCCAATGGGAGTCGGAGGAATTCACTGATTTGCGCCAGCGGCTCTGGCCAAAGTCATTTCTGGTTACCATCAGCTACCATTTTCAAAGCGAATATTCACGGGCGCCATGGGGAAACTTTTAAGCCAATCAGTATTCGATTCCCTTTGACCGGCGGCCCTTTATTGAAAATTAATTTCGACAATTTGCGCAACTGTTTTAGCATTTTTTAGCTTCGAGGCATTTTTACCTTTTTTTTTTGTTTGCAACTTGGATGAAATGAACAGAAATTCTCCGGGCCAGCTCGTGCTTGGCCAACATTTTTGCCTTTTGCACTTTGCACAGTACTGTGTGTGCCTGCTGATGCATCTGGCCATATTCAAAGGAGCAAATAGTAGTCCAGGTCCTGGAATCAAAGGCCGACAGAGTGCTGATGGAGTGCGAATCACGAATTGAAATGCTCAACTGCTTCTCCAAGGAGTAAGGACTCGCGGGCTCACCGCATTGGCAATCACGTCGCAAGCCCAGAAAGTCAAAGTTCCCAACTTCAAGTGCAATGATAGGAACAGCTTTCATCACTTGATACCTTATATGTTTGTGGGCGAAGGGTGTATTGGTGGTAAGAATATGATTATTTTAGGATTGAAAAGCAATATGTTTTAGTTTTCCTTTAAAAAAAACTTCTCATAACTTGGATCTTACATAGATAGTTATTAATTTATTCAAGTAAGAGGTATTAACAGTGGAATAATACAATTTTACTCTTTTTTTTATAACTGTGTGCTTTGAATTTTACTCTTGAGTAAAGTCTTATTTGAAAATTCCATTTATAAAGATAACTTTCGTTCAACACAAAGAAAACGAAAGAAAGATTTCGAATAATAATTTCCAATTAATTAAACGGGCAAATTTGTCTTAAAAATTATAGAAGCCATAAAAAGATAATCCATTTCTGGAAAGCTGAGATTTAAGGATGATACTGAACACAACGGTCGCCCAGGGGCTGCAGTTGGCGGGCATTGGTGCTTATCCTGCTACAGTCATGGCGGCAGAGGGATCGGAACTGGGACATCTGTTGAGGACTGACCCCGAAGATCTGAGAATTAACAATCCAAATGGTGGGCATCGAGATATCCCCGTTGTCATAGGTGCCCTGGTAGGTGTAGTAGCCTCCTGTAAACGGTTGCATTAGCCGTTGCAGGTCAAAGGGCGGCAGTTCAATGGTCGATTCTGGGCGCTTAATCGAACGAAGATTATCGGAGATTTGTTGCAGGGGACCGTTTGCGAAAGGCATCAGCATAAACAAGTACGATATTGTCAGATATTCAAAGGGTCCTCTTTTTTTAGGACAACGATGTAGAGCCTGCATTTCCAGGGAAAATCTGAGGAAAGATTTGATTAAAATTGGCTTAAATGATGAGTTAGACGAATAACATACGTATGGGAGTCAATGCAGTGTTCGGAGCGATCTAAGCCCCACTTGAAGGTGGCCTCTACGAACTTGTATCTTCCTTCCAATTCTCCTCCGCTTATTTCGGGCCTTAGGTATGGCGTACTTGTAGTTAGGATCACTGTGCTCCCATTATTTTGCAGTAAAATAGCCTCTGGCATGAGATCATAGTGCCTCCATTTTAAAGGAAACTGTAGCCGGCGCCTGAACACCTTGGGGCCCAGAATGTGAATGGGCGAAGGTAGGTGAGCCGACTTGGCGCGGAACCTGGCATTCGCCGCCATCTGCATAACATCCTGAATTATCATGGAACCCGACTGCAAGTGCATGATGAAGGCTACGGATATGACACAGCTCACGAGGCATTTTACGAATCTTGAATTCTCTGTCAATACCATAATGTGGCAAAAACAATAATATAGCTTCCACCAACAAGAGGCTATAAACGAAAACAACGCAAATAAGATTTGCATCTAAAAGTTTAAAAAATATTTGAGTCAAGCACTTGTATCAGACTATTTGACATGTATTTCCAAAGGCATTCAGTTTAAACTTTCCTTTAAGAGACCTAATTAAAAACGTCAAGATCAGACTACACAACCTATCCATCCACCTACCTACATATATCATTAGTGCATTTAACCTTGTTCTGATCTGGATTCGAATGATTAAGATGGACGTTCACTTGTGGGCTTCAAGCCCCGAAGAACTGAAGGGGAAAACTGCACAACTGCTTTGCGAAGCTACTCAATTAGCCGGCTTATTGCTCGGTTGGTAATCGTCTAATAATTTAACGAAGAGCTGGCTTTGAGTTTTGGCCAATCAAAGCTTTGAGGGCATGGCGCTGCAGGTGCAGCTTGTGCGAAATTTCGAATTGCCGCCATTCCTCCAATGCCGCAATGAATATCCAACAATAGCCGAGACACTCCAAAGCCAACTGCCCCTGACTGGGTTCGCAATATTAATTTCCAGATGGCCTCGTCTGAGAGATAGGCTTTGAAGTTTTGTTGGCCCAAAGTGAGCCATTTAGGCCACACGAAATGGTGACCCCACAGGTCCTAAATATGGGGATCCTTTTGTTTGCCCCACGTTGGATGCACTGGAAGCGCTGAGCCATAAAGCAGATAGGCCGGGATAGGGGACAACAACGATGTCGGTTTATGGGGCTTTGTGCCAGGACATAGGACGCAGGACACAGTCACACACACGCACTGCTGTCCTGGCAATTCAAATAAATACCTAGCCCGGCAAACAGGCAACGCACACAGCCAGGAAGCACGGGAGTTGTGGCCAGGAGGAGGAGGACCTGGGCTGTGGTCCTGCATCCTGACTGCCAAAGTTCTCGGCGCGTGCTTCATAAAATAGTCATAATGCATGTTTTTATGAAATATGAAGTGGCCGAAAAAGTTGCTGCCCAAGCACAACCAGCCCAGGCCAGCCTGTAGCCCAGCCCGCTCTCATCCTGGCCCAGCTACCTACCACTCTTTTTGGAGTCTGGCCTAGTCGGTGCATAAGCCAAAACCGAAATGTAAATATTTTGCTATGTAATTATTTGTATACGACCCGGAATCCGACTCCACACCCACACCCATGTGCGTGGTGTTTTGGTGAGTGGGTGTCTGGGCCGGGTCTTAAATGTATTAGTGAGGCCATTAAAAGTTGCCAAGTCGCCCGGGAGAGTTAAACCAAAGAAGTGAAATTGCATTGGGATTTCGGTCTTGGCTTCCATAAAATAATCATCTGTTGCCAGGAACAGAGCATTTGCCGGGAAGATTTAAGGGTTTGCACTATTTACCGAAAAAAAACGCCAGCACATGGCATTTGGTAATTAAAATCAGGACACACGGACTTGTGTAAAGTATTTAAAAGCTTTTTAGGTCAAAGAAAGGTATTTAATAAAAAAAAAAAAAAAAACAAATTATGAAGCAAAAAATGACCTATTGACATTTTTGCCAAAAGTTTGGAGTTTAAAATATTTCAAGAGCAAGACCTTCTAATTTTCGGAATATCCTAGTTGCTTTTCAAATTTAAAATGCTTGTTTGTTGTGGTTATAGGTAAAGTTACCCACCAAGCTGGCTTTTTGAAGGGCTGGGGGCAACCGACCTTTTGCGATTGACAGGCTCATGGGTTATGGGTTTATGCCCGTTTATGTGAGCTGTGGACTGCGGGTCACTCTCCCAGTTAACTACTACTCTTGTCGGTAATTAAATTGAGACCGAGGCAGGAGCTCACAAAAATGAAAACGACCCCTGCCAGGAGGAGGTTCCACAATAATTGTGCAACTTCCATTTATGAGAACCCAAAAGGATGTCAGAAGCAGGGGAAAGAATGGGGACTACTGCTCAGTGGGTCCTGGCGATAACTTTTGACATGGCAATACACAAATATCGCTGCAACCAGGTGAGTTGACATAAGTAGGTACATAATAACAAATTTATTATGCCACTTACTTGCACTCTCCGGGGAAAATGTAGTATATGCCGGCAACTTTTATCGCCGCTAAAAGAAAACTTTGCCTTTGCGAATATAAAGCCTGATTTGTGGGCATAAGGAAGTTTGAAACACTTACCCTCTTTCCTTCGCCAGGGCTACTTGAACAAAATTAGGAAATTAATTCGATATAAGGATTTCCGGTAGAATGTTTTTGATTTTTGATTTTCAGATGAGAAGCAAATTGAAAATGTGATGGACTTTTCAAAGATGATTCGTTTGTTACTTACTTTTTTAACTTCCTTTTTTGTGTAAATTTTTAAAGAAATTTTTTTATTACTCATACGACATGTATGACAAGTTGAAGCTTCATCCTATTGTTATTTTAATGAAATTTACAAAGAAAATTCTTGTCTACCCTTTGTCCTTAGTGCTTAAATGGACTTTTTAATGGAATTTGTCTGGGAACAAGTCATAAGGCAAGGCATAATATCCAATTTCCACTGCAAGGAGTTATTAATACCAACTCCCGCCAGCCACCCCTTTTCAATTCCGTGAGCCTTCCTAGCACACTCAATGAAATTGCTTGTTTACTTGGAATTATGCAAATTTCAGCGCAATCACAGAAGTGATGAGGTCAAATGACAAATACGGCAAGGACCTCCGCCCACTGGGCTGGTCAGCCTGCAACTCTCTCCTTAAACTAAACCTCCCTTTCATTTCCGCCAACTGAGATCCCCTTAAGTGCTTGCTTTGGCTGGAAATTGAAAAGAAATTATTATAACTTGTATTTGCATTTCGCTGGCCGGACCTTACAGGAAAAAGGAGTGAAGAGAGAGGTCGAGCGAGGCCGCCTCGGCCACAGTTGCTGCTGAAAGTTTTCGGTTTTTGGGCAACAAAAGTCACGGCACGGCACGGGGAAATGTATGCAGTCAGTGTACGTGCAGTTTAGAGCGCAATTTATGCCCCAAACCAGCTGATAACTGTAATGGATCTGGCTCGTCCTTTTACAGGACTTGTTATTAAAAAACTTTGGCCAAGTGCGTCGCATGTTTGGCTCTACTCGGTTATTTTCCATCTTATTTTTTTCCCAGCTAACTCGCCGGAGAAAGTTGCTGCTCGAAATTAAAAGGATTAGCCCGGGAAGGGCCAGGGAGTCGGGGCCACAAAAACAACTTTGTACTCTATTTAATGCTAAGGTTATTTTTTTCCACCACGCAAATTTTTGGGCTCGCGAAAAAGTTTTTTGATTGCAAACTTTCGATGTGACTGCCACAGCGAGATTCTCTGGCAAATGAAGAGGACCCGGAAAGTGGAGAAACTTCCGGTATCCGGTGCTCGGTATCAGGACTCCTTAGCAATCTGGCTTGTTGCAGTTTGAGTGGATGATGATGATTGCTTTTGCCCCATGCCAAATGAAATCTAATTCAATTTCTAATAATACCCCGAAGAGAACACAGGGCATAACTTTGGAGAAGACTGGCTTTGTGTTGCTAAAAACTTTTCCGCACCGAGCTTTACAGCTCCTTTCCCAGCAGCTCCTCACCAGCGCCCCGGCTCTCCACCTCTAGTGGCTCTACATATGTGTGTTTTCGTCCAAGTTGGAAATTGAAAAGCAAACTTGGCCTGCAGTTGAGCCAATAGAAACTGCATTTGTATACAATGCATTTGAGCTGTCCAAAGTTCAGGGTCCCTTCGTTCGTGTGTCCCATCAAGCTGTCAACACTTTTTGCCTTTGACTCGGGTCTCCTCCAGCTCCGGGATCGAGCGCTTCCTTGGTCCTTGTTCGGTCCTTTGGTCCCCTGAGCCTTTGTTGTTGTTTATCGGAGTGCAAAAGTTTCAGGGACGAGACACAGGGGTACGGGTGTACAACCGGAAAGAAAGTTCCTCAAACTTTCCGGAGAACAGGAGTCGACAGAGCAAAAACTATTAAAAGCGTATCGAGTCATTTGAGCCACAACTATTTTTCAAGCCGGGCTTATCGAATTACACGACAGTCACAGGTTGGCAACAGCAGCCGAGTGATAACCGTGTTGACGCCACTTTAATATTCCATTTTTCTGCACTTTCTGTAAGTGCCCCGGGAGCGACTGCAAATCAATGACAAAGTGGAGAGGTGCAAGTGCCCAACAAGAAACATTTTGCATGCCAACTAACTGACCCGTCTGACAGACATTCGACAGGAGCTTTGCTGGGACACGACTCCAGGAGGAGTCGCCAAGAGGAGGACTGGTCATGTCAATGGACCAAAGTGTCCCAGCTACGTGACTGACATTAAGTATTGCCATTGCCCTTGCCATGGCCTTTCCCGAACCTCCAACCTCGATCCCCAATCCCCTTTTCTATTCTCATTGCTATCTTTTTCCATCTTTTCGCTTGCCACGTTTATTACTCTTGCAAAAATCATGCAAATGTCCTGTCCAGAGGATGCCATCGAGGCTGGAGTCGAGGAAGCGGCCGGCCCTTCCCGGCTTATGGCTGATTTCGAGCAAGGCAAAGTGTCCTCTAATGGTAATGGGTCCTAAATGCGCCTTTCAACCTTGCCAGCTGTTGGATCGTCGGAAGTGCCAAAGCGAAAATAATGTGTCACAACATAAAAAAGATGCTGAAAGGCACTCCAAATTTCAGAAAAACCTGAAGCTCAAAAGCGGAATATTGAGCTTGAAACCCTTCATAGTTGATTTCAGCTGGGGGTCCTTTTAAGTCACACCAAGTCAAGAGTTCATGAGTTATCTTTGCTTCTCCAGCAATTATCAAAAACTGAAATTTCCAAACTGCAACGAAGTTCAAACTAATTTCATACTTTTCCCTAATGATTCCCAAATCAGGGCCAAAATCATTACAGCGCTCACCACAGGCCTGATTAAAAACCATCGGTCAGAGTACTGATTGACTTTGCAAAATTTCTGCTTCCCAGGAATCTGTGGTAATGGATTCGCTATCATGGCCAAGCTTATTCGCTATTACCATTTCCAATCCCGACACAATTTCATTTGCATTTTTTTTCCCATCCTGCCACTTCTTCTAGTGCAGATTTTTATTTTTACAATGTGGA